TACCAACCCTTTGGGCTTTAGCCACATCGCCATGGCTTGGCTGAGCATGTGGTGCGTCACCACTTTGCCTCTTTCTGGGCAAGTCACACGCTGGAAGGGCTAGTTTCTCTTGAACCCACTTTTGCCAACTTGCAACTTGGGGTTGCCCATTCGCATGGCCATGTTTGGCTTGGCTAGAGCAAGCTTGTGCCACTTGGCCCATTCGACTGAGAACCTCTTTCTGGGCAAGCCAGAAACTGGAAGGGCTGGTTTCCCTTGAACCCACCTTGGCCAACTTCGTCTTGGGGCAAGCCCCATACCCCCCATTCGCTGGCAGAACCGCTGATGACGGTGAAGCTGACGGTGTACCAGGACCACAGCGCGGTCTTGGCCTTCTCCAGGTGGCTGTGGTTGTCACCGTTTTGGGATCCCATTTTGGTTGGGATTGGTGAATTCACCCGTTTTAGTCGTACCATGTTGGGGGATTGGTGAATTCACCACCCATTTTAGGACCTAAATTTTAGTGGTTGGATTGAATCGGATGTTCACTGAAGCTCACGGGGCTTTGGATTTTGAAAAGCCCATGGCCAGGTCCCACATGCTCTTCGACGGCTCCTCCGCCTGGACCTTCCTGGGGCTCTGGGCCAGCTTGGCCAAGGGCGATACCATCCGGGAGCCCTGGTGGCACAAAGACCAGGCCGGAAGAGGCCGAAAAAGGGCGCTGTGTGGTTTTTTGTGTTACGGGTCGTTTTGGTTTGGTTTGGTGTGTTTGTGTCTATGTATCCATGCTTTGCATTGTTTGCTTGTGAGTGTGTGTTTGTTTTTGTTTCTTTGTTTGTGTATTAATTGTGCTTGGTCGGTCACGCAAATCCGACAAGGAGCGCTGGAAGCTGCAGCTAGGATTTAAATAGCTTGGCATCCATAACGTGAGTCGCGCAACCTGGGCGCAGTCAAATGTTTAGTGTTGTTTGTCACGGAACGAAACGGAATCGTGGTCAATCTGCACAAAGCTGCACACTTCAAGCAGTTTGCTTCGAGCAGTACAAAGCTATCACAAGCCACACGGATCATACGAGTGTTTTGTGTTTTGTCTGCCACTTCAAGAGCTCCATCAGCCTGAGCCAAAACCAATGGATTCCACTTCCTTTGAACAGGGCTCCTTAAAAGATACATGTTGCAACCATTTGAAACATGGCTTTTTCCACCAAAACAATGGGAAACCACCATCTACAAGGTGAATTCACCACCCATTTTAGTCGTACTCCCATTTTGAGGGATTGGTGAATTCACCACCCATTTTAGGACCTATTTTAGTGGTTGGATTGAATTGGATGTTCACTGGGGGTCACCGGGCTTCGGGCTTTTGACCCATGGCCATGTCCAGCGGGCGCTCCCAAAAAGTTCAAAGGTTTGATTCCCCATTCTCTTCAGCCATGGGTCTCTTTAGAAACCACCCATGTTTCAAGGGCTTGGCCCCCTTCGAAGAGAAGGTTCCATGAGAATGGGGCCAGCGCAGCTCGAAAAGTCGTTGGTTCGGCCGTGGAGGTGGAGAAGCAGGTACCCGGCGACAAGGAGCTGCCGGAGCTGGCGAAGCGCGTCTTCAACATGACGCTGGAGCCCTCGATGCTCAACTCCTTGGTGAAGCATCTGGCCGAAAAGGGGGTGGTTGCGAGTGGGGGGTCTTCAAAAATGCGGGGGTGAGCCGCGGGGGGGGGGGGTGTTTTGTTGAGGGTGGAAGGGGGCGGAACCGCGATGAACCAGTAGGCACGAGGAACTTTGGGTTTGGCGAGGTTGGGGTAGGGTTTGAACCCATGTTGGAGCCTATGTTAGATATATATTTATATATATATATATGTTTGTGTGTGTGTGTGTCGTGTATGTCTCTGTGTGCGTGTTTGTTGCACTCTCCAGAAGCATGTGGTGCGTGAAAGACACCCATGTAGGAAGGAACCTCCTTTTGGGAGGATCCCAAATTTGACGCTGTTTGTGGCCAATTCTATGTTATGCTTCCGGGGAGTGACCTTGGGGGCTTGACTGCCGCCGATTTGCGCGTTACTTTTGTTGGACATGTTGCTTCTGTATGTGGGCGTGAGTATCAACAACAAAATTTGTTCTGTTTACCTGCGCTTATCTGCACACAGTAGGGTCAGCCCGCCATCATGAGGATATTCGTTGGCGGTCCAATTCCCAAAATCGATGGCTTTAACGGAATCAAGTGCCTGCGTGTGGCGGGTTGACACCCGTTTCAAAGCGCAAGTTACACGGGTCCGGAAAGGGGATCATGTGAACATTTGTTTGTTCCCGTCACCGCTTTCGCGTTTTTGTTTTGAGTCTTCCAGCAGGCGGGCGCCTTGACCCTTTTGAGAAGCTATAAAAGGCAGCATTTGGTTCAAACATGGACCTTTCCTTTTTGACCACCGACTTTGATGATGTGGCGTTATTTGAGGGAAGCCCATTTTGGGTTTGTTTCAGAGGGAAGCCACAAGGAAACAGCATTTTGGCGGGCCCCCTTTGGAGACGAGTCAATTTTAACCCCGTGGTTTTCGGCGTGCGAGGAAAGTGCTGATCCCCACGATTGGCCCTTTGGTGGACACCATGCTGCTTGGACCGACGTCGCGTGCGAAGTGCCTGGAGTTGCATCGGAATTTTGAAGTCTGCTATTAAATTGACATTAATTAGGCTTTTCAGGAAAATGGGAATTGTTTTTTTTTTCAAAAGCATCATTTGTTGGGTTTGGTTTTCAATGATAATTCAAGGAAAACCACCGGTTTTCAAGGTCCTGCTTTGAGACAAGCCCAAGCGCAAAATTTCCCACCTGGCAAGAAGCTGAACTTGGGCCGGGTGCATTCCCTTCTCACGGACTTTGGTTTCAAGTAGGTGCCTACTTTAGGGGACGCGTGTGGTGCACCATAAGCCAGAAAAAGAGGAGTACCCTTTGAAAATGACACCCAATGTCTTGCTTGTTGGTTTGGAGAGAAGTTTGAGGCATTGTAAACACCATACACAGGGCGGGTCTCAGCAAAATCAATTCAACTTCTCCCATCGAAGCAAGCCCAGAAGCCAAGACCCCGTTTTGTTGGTTTCAGGAAACAAATATCACTCATGTGTTTGTTCTTTGGATGTGCTCCAGGGTGCAGCAACGCAAGAGGACCACATGGGTTACAGTTCTTCCAGTTTTACTTTGGGCCGGCCTTGTTATATATCCGGACTTGCCGACTTGCTGGATATATTTGTGTTACCCTCTCCTGTCTCGAGTCAGGTTCCATGTGTTTGTTCGGACAGCATCGGCTGGGTGTGTGGCTCCGGTCAGCAGGTCATAGGGATCATTTTGCAAGTCGCGAGCACGCATAATGAAAGAGTGTGTCATCGGGTGAGAAATACGGCAACAACAGGGGGGACACTACACATGGGTTAATATTGTTTTCAATTGGTGATTTCGGCAATTTGAACTAGTCGATTTCTAGAGTCAATTGAGGACACCCCTGAACCTTGTCAACCCAAACTACCAGCGAGTAACTGAGTAGGTTGACAGAGGTAAGTTCAAGCAATGCCTTTGCTGGGTGCACAGAGAACGGCATCCAAAATGAGCTTATATATGCATAACCCCATTGAGAGCGGGCGCAGCCAACCTAATTACTAGAAGATATATTCCACAAAAAAGGACAACGCGACGCGTCCTTGTGAATCACCAGGTTTGTTGAAAGGTGGGCGCAACATTCCACAAGAATCTCCATGAAGCCAGATTGTTCATGGTACAGTATCTCCCATGACTAGTGTGTGTGTGTGTACGTGTGGTGTTTTGGTTGATGCTACCTGGCAAAGGTTTGGTTTTGTTTTCGCCCCAAAATCAAGAAGGGTCCCCTTGGACCCGGAACCATCTCCCGAGTTGAAATGTTCAAAGACTTTCCACGCACGAGGTCAACGTGACCCATGTCCGTGCCTTGAGCCATACATGACATTTGCGTGCCTTGATCCCACATTGTATCGGGCCAGCATAATCAAAGGAAGTTTAACAAGAAACTTCCGTAGTACTGGAACTAAATGAGCTAGCTGCTTTGACATATAGCTATGACAGGTAGCTAGCATGACAAATAGATAGCTTTGACATATAGCTAGCTTGACAGATAGATAGCTTTCCAATAGGCTTGCATGACAAATAGATAGCTTTGACATATAGCTAGCTTGACAGATAGATAGCTTTCCAATAGGCTTGCATGACAGATAGATAGCTTTGACATATGGCTAGCGACAGATAGATAGCCCAATGGCGCATGACAAATGAGAGACATGTAGCTTAACCAATAGGCTTGCATGACAGATAGATAGCTTTGACATATAGCCAGCTTAACACGTAGATAGCTTTCTCAAGTATAGTTTACGTGGCAGGCTGGCACGCAAGCACTCTTGAGCTGGGGATGCAAGATGCAAAAACATTGGCGCTGTGCGTGAATTGGGCTTCCGGACTTGGCAAAACCACCTCGGCTGCGACGCCTGTACGGTCTCCAGGCGGTCTCGGAACGGGTACGAACGGGTTGGAACGGGTTCGGAGGCAGACCCCTTGGGACGCCCAGGAAGGTTTCGCAAGGTTTGAATTGCGTGGCAGGCGCAGCACTTTCGCAAGGTCAAGTTCGATTTCGTGGCAGGCGCAGCAGCTTTTGGTCAAGTTTGTGTGGCCATAACTTACTTTATGCGAGCAGGGGGATGGCAAGATGCAGAAAACGTTGGCGCTGTGCGTGAATTGGGCTTCCGGACTGTGCGCAAACCACCTCGGCTGCGGCCTTACTGAGCGGTCTCAGGACGGTCTCGGAACGGTCTCGAACGGTCTCGGAGCGGGGAGAGCCAGGCCATTAACACGGCAACGAAGATTTCATAAAGCGTGGCAAGCTGTACTTGCCATACTTACGATAGTTTTAAATGTGCCTGCTTTTTTATAAGGTCAAACCCATCGTTTAAGTCATTCGAAGGCAACAACATAAGATCAGAGCATCGTTTTAGTAGCAGAGGCTGCTCTTATAACTGCTCTGTTTCAGATGTAGGATGCAGCATTGGCGCATGCGAAGTTGGGCTCGGACAATGCGCAAACCACCCTCGGCTGCGACGCCTGTACGGAGGCGGTCTCGGAACGTGCCGGAACGGAACGGGTTCGGAGACGGGCCCATTGGCACGGCCGCGCGAAGGTTTCGCAAGGTTTGAATTGCGTGGCAGGCGCAGCACTTTCGCAAGGTCAAGTATAGATTTCATGTAGGCGCAACAGCTTTCGCAAGATCAGGTATCGATTTCGTGGCAGTAGCATCCACTTTCGCAGGTCAAGTATCAGAGATTCGTGGCAGGAATTTGCAGCACTTCATAGATCAAGCTCCTTCCTTTGGTGGCACGCACAGCACTTTCGCAAGGGGACAAAGACTTTAACTTTAGGCGCAGCACTTTCGCAAGGTCAAGCACTGGAGGTGGCAGGCGCAATTTTTTGCGTCGTCCCTTTCGCAGCCGGGGCTCGAAAATCGCAACTTTGAAATCGAAAGTAATCGCATAAAGTCACTTTCCGCAGCTGGGAGCTCGAGATCGCGACTTTTAATCTCACAAAGTAATCTTGTAATCCCGCACTTTCGTAGCTGGACCCAGAAACAACTCTGAAAAAATAGTGAAATCAGTTCGCAGCTTTGAGGCCTCAAAATCATAACTTTTTTCACAAAAAGTAGTGAATCCAACTTCCGGGATTAATTCTCATAACTTTTAAATTACAGAAAGAGATAGATGATAAACAGATATAGAGATAGCTAGAGAGATAGATAGAAAGAGAGAGAAAGAGACAGAGAAACAGAAAGAGAAGAAAGAAGAAAGAGAGAAAGAGAGAAAGAGAGAAAAAGAGAGAGAGAGAGAGAGAAGCAAAGGGGCCAAGGACAGTTCTCCAAACTATAGTTGTTCACTGCTTTGAAACTTCCGCCCCCCGGCTCTGCCGGACCTTACTTGTATACATATGTAAATATATAAACATATGTATATATTTTTATGGTTTCTCCAGTAGTGCCCTTCTCACCTTTTTTTTGGAGGGTTCCCATAGCAGAAAAAAGTTGGTACCCTTATTCTAACCTCTCTACTGGAGGACCTCGGCATTTGCAAAGAGCCAGAGCTTGTCCTCGCGCATATGGGTTTGGAGCCTTGGCGCCCAATTTCTGTGCCAACCTTAGGGGGGTAAAACCCTTTGAATCCCCATGTTTTCCATTTGCAGAGCAACTTGCGAGGATGTACTTTTGAAAAGAGTTGCCCTCCACCTTTCCACTGTTTTGTTTTTAGGATCCATACCCTCCAACTGATACCTACCCCCCCCCCCCCATGTAGCAGGTAAATACAGGTCTCCTTAAAAGATACATGTTGCAACCATTTGAAACATGTTGCGTTTTCCACCCAAATAAAGTTGGGCACCACCATTTACCAGGCAAGGTTCAGGTGTACAATATAAGGATCCCTCTGTAAAAGGGGATAACTACCCAAAGAATGGGTTGGTCTTTTTCAGGTTTCCCTCCCAGCGTCGCTCAAAACCACCCGGAGCCGTGAGGTTCCTCCACGCCCGGTACTCCCTGTACCGCCCGGTGCTCTTCTTCTCGGACGCGGAGCTGGCGGCGCTGAAGGAGGCGGCGACGCCCAGGAAGCTGGAGCCCGGCCAGGACGACTGGGTGAGCCTCAGCCGCAGTCTCAAGGTCCCAGTGCGTCCGAGTGCGCCGGGGACGGGGGGGGGGAGCAGAGTGCGTCCGAGTGCCCCCCCCCCCCCCGAAAAAAAAATAAATCGCATTCCCGGAAAGGGGGGGGGGGAAGGGGCCGGGGCCGGGGGAGGGAGCACAGGAAAAGGAGTAGTTGTTTGTGGTTTGGGAGGTTGGGAGAGGGGGGAGTGAGACTGGGGATTTGTGACTGGTGGAACATGTGCGAATGTTTGGGTACCCATTTTGACACGCCATGTATTGGTTTAGTGTTCGTTTCCTGATACCAATCACATCCCCTCACTTCTGGACCACTCGGCCAAAAAGATTGAGGTGACCCTCGGCACTGGAAAAAAGAGACGAGCACTTGAACTGGTGGAACGGGTACGCTCAGTTTTTTGAGGGCTGAGAGAATATCGGGATGTAACACTTGCTGGTTCTAAGGGAAGTTGGGAGAACAAACTAATCGTGGCTTTGTCAGAATGGGGTTCATTTCTAAACTGGACCCGCAAGTTTTCTGCAAAACATGGCTTCCCAGCGTGCTTGGTTTGGAGAGTTAGGTTCACCGTTCTTTGGTGAGTTCCCTTAGGGTTACTGGGCAATGGTGGCCAGGAAAGCGCAATCATGTATTTGGAACATAGCCTGAAACGCCCGACAAGAAGACTTGCAGAGTTTATGCGTCAGTTGCTAGTCCATGAAAATTGTAAGTATGGTTCGGACTGCCCTTCCCAACTCTCACGCTGCCAGCTCGCCTTGCCAACTCAGGGTTGGATGGTGACATAAACTACCAAACTTCTCGGCCCTGCCAGATGGACAAACTTAGCCATTGACGGGACCGTGTGTTCGAGTTTGTAGGTTTTTGAAGAGTCCAGGTAGAACCATGTCAATTCCCTCACCTCGAAGCTTGATTTGGTTGCATGCTCTTCAAACCTGGCCTTCTTTTTTTTTGCGGGAATGGACAACGAGTAATTTGTTTTTGTATACGCTCCGCGACTTGTTCTTGGTGGCGGACTTGGGGTTGTTTGCAAAAGAACAAGCAGAAGCACATCAGCGAGATGTGTCGCCGTGCTGAAGACTTCTTGAGCCCCGCCCACCCAACCCCCACAACCTCCCTCCCCTTCTTCCCCAATATTTTCCTTGCGCCCATTGGCTTTTCCCGCTGAGGACAACCCAGGAGGCTTTTTGCGCATACGTGCTGCTGACGCTTGGTTGCCGCATCCTGCCGAAAACCTCCTGGGGCAGCTTGGCTATGCGGCTAAGAAGCCGGGCTCTGCGGCTTTCGGCTTCCCCTCATTTTTTGTTTGGGGAGTTTGGTTTGCTTCAAGGCAAAAGGAAACGGGACCAGCACCCTCCGACTATTGCCCAGGAGCAGCAACTAGAATTTAGACGGTAGTCGGAGGGTGCCTGTCATTTTTTTGTTTGAGACAAACAGGTGTTCATGGACGCAAAGGGTTCTCACCTGGAGCTTTTGGATGTGAATTCGCCTCAGGCAACCGAGTGTCTTCTTTCCCGCTCCGGTCATCTTGAGTATGGATGCTGTATAGCGATGTGCCATGCAGTTGCACAGCACACATCGCTATGCAACGATACAAGCGTGTAGGTTATATATATATACACGTATATCTATACACATTATACATTCATATACAAAGCCTATAAACATTCATCAACTCCGCCCCAATCTAACCTCTTTCATTACGGATTCAGGGAGGGAGCATACAGGAGGGTCAAGATCCACGACTCCAATGAGGATTGGTGCTGGAAAACGGGGCTCTACCTTTGATAAGACTCTGAATCAGCATGCGATTAGAGGCACTGGGAACACTCTGGTGTTGCTTTCTGGGGAACAGTTGAAAGAGCGGGAAATTCTGCATTGTACGAGCACCCATTCAAAGCATCAGCGTCTTCTGAGTCTTTGCTTTGTGCGCAGCTGCGTCGCTTGTTTTGTCGCTAGGCTCGTCTTCACACATTTTACTGGGTGGGGCGCACCAAGAGCTGCACAAGGCTGAGGTCTCATTAGCAAAGACACAACAGTACAGGCGACATGTTCTAGCATTGAAACGTGCAGGAAGTTGAGCCAAAGAGGGTGGCATCTGAAAAAAGGCTGGGGGACTCCGGGTCTATTGAGAAAGGCGCCCACTTTGGGATGAGCTCGGTTGTTTGACCGATTGTTTTCCTCCTTTGCTTCAGGCTATGTTACCCCAAGGTGAGGGCGGAAGGCTTGAACACAACGTTCTACAGGGCTCCTTGAAAGATATATTTTGCCCGTTTGAAACATGGCTGTTTCCACCAAAATACAGGGAAACCACAATTTACAAGGCAATGTTCAGGTGTAGAATGTAAGGATCCCTGTTCTAGATCAAAGAGTAGAATCCATCACTTTGAGTGGCCAACCGGCCTACTGCCAGAGCCATGCTCACTTGCTTCCATGTGGTTGACTTCCGATTTCCCCCCTTGTGGGGATGGGTTTAACTATGGAGCAATCAAGTGAATCTGTGTCAAAATGTGGATCCTGTTGATTTCTTGTAACCCGATTTGCCAAAACGGCTACACGCAAAGAAACAACCCCAAATGAAGCCCACGCTCAGGCAATGTGCAGATGATGTTTCTCCTGGATGCGCGGAAGGCCTTGAGGCTGCCTCCCAATCAGCTCTTGGGCAATGGCCTCACCTTCTGTACCGCGGCTTTGTTAGTCGATTGGGGCATACAGATATTAATATATATATATATGTATTAATATTGTATGTATTTCTCGTGTTCCGCTTGTTTATTGGCTTATGCAATTGGTGCTATGTGCTGTGTGGTGTTTACTGTGTGGTTTCTTGTGCGTGGTGAGAGAGAGCGAGAGAGAGAGAGAGAGTGTATCTGTTGACCTCTTTCCACGACAACGGAGTTGGTCTTGTGGGTTTCTTTCGTTGACAAATCGTTCTGTTTCCGTCCCAACATTGCAGGAGGTCATTTGCTCAGCATTGCTAGGAATGTAAGCAAATGTCTACGCCCAAAGATAGACAGGTTTGCCGACGACTTTGTGTTGCCCTCTCTGACGAGCTCTGAGGATCCGACCTGTTTGAGGAAGCCCGTAAACTAGATGATTTCTTTACTAGTCAAGCAGGGATCTCATGATTTCTGCAGATTCCGAAGTTTACACACAGTGATAGGGATGTCAGTACATTCGTGGTGGGTCAATGTTGTTGGCAACAGCAATCACTTCTTGCTGCCGCAACTGTCTGTTATCATTGCAATTGTCGAAACCAAGCAGATGCGTTGGGAATGTTTTCTACAGAGAGTTGCCTGGGATTGACGCTATCTGGATCGAGTCAACATTGATAGACTGTGCACATATGGATGGGCTTTGGCCTTTGTCGCCTTGTTAGTCTATCCGCTTGGGATTCTCTCGGGCCATGGTCTTCAACCAAATGTGGCAGGATGCAGCAGTGTCATTTTTGAGAAACAAAACCTTCAAAACAACATCTGACACCTCTACAAATTTACTTGGAACTCACCCCCCTCTATGATGCTTTTTGTTGGGTCCCATGCTGCCCATGCTCACTTGGAGGCGAGTAAATTCTGAGAAACACCACCAAGAGCACGCCAATTTTTGCAAGATAGTTTCCACTAACCTGCACACCATCACCTCAGAAGGAAAAAGGAGTATATAGTGTGGCTATATTAGTAGTTGCATCCTTTTCATTTGCGGATTGAAAGCCACCCCAGGGTGCAACTTGAGAACAAACCAGAATCACTAAAAGCCTCTGTTCAGCGGCCGCAGCTTGGGCTATACTCGCTCATGTTTCCAGGTGGACTCCTGGATTTTGGCACTTCCCACCTCTGAAGGGTGGCTAGGGTTTGGGGGGAGACCTGCGCCACCGACTCGCCTCATGCGCCATTTTCGCGCGTGTAAGGCAACATCAGCATCCCCACCCAGCAGATGCTCCAGATGGACCTGCCGGAGCTGGCAGCCATCCTTCACGAGGCCCTGGCCTCGACGCCTGAAATCCATGGCGCTTCTTGTGTGTGTGTGTGTGTTTGCGGCGAAAGGTTCTTTGTTGGGTCTGTTTGAAGGGAAACCCATGGGAAACCAAAGGGAAACCAAAAGGAAGCCGTTTTGCAGGTCCCTCCATTTTGAGAGAAGCCAATGTTTGAGCTGTGACAATTTGGCGAGGCTGAGCTTGGGGGAGGGCCGGGAAGATGTGCCAAACTGGCTCGTCGGTGCGGACAGTGGGGTTGTAGACCCACTTTGTGCGATACCAAGGGAATCCCCCAAGTGACGAGTCATGGGGTTGCAGAAAGGAGAACCGCATCCTGCTTTCGTATCACAACGGTGATTTCCCGCCAGGTGGCGTTGGGGTTGGCAGAGAGCCTGGGTTCCCTATTGAAAGGCACACTGACATGTTTTCTCTCAATTGGTTTAAAACGGCCCCCCCTTGCATTGGCGAGGCGCTTTTGCAAAGAAATCCGTTCTCATGGGAGGCATTTGTGGAGCATTTGAGAAGCAAAGTCAAGATCTCCAAAGGAAGCCCCCAAAAGAAGCCGGCCATGGCAGACATACCCGTCATGTTTTGTTTTTTCAACTATCCTTGGCATGCTTTCCATGTTCTGGGAAGGGAGGAATCCTGGAAAATGGGGGGAAGTACTGCTAGAACCTTTGTTGCTGTTGTTGTTTTGCGAGGTACCCAGTACCAGATACCGATGTTGAGCTTATGTTAAAGGAACCCGAAAAGAGGAACCTCTTCTTCTTGCAGGTTCATCCATTAGAATGGGCCAAACTCATTGTACGCCACATTCTGGTACATTCGAAGAGACTCATACCGGTCTATGGCAATCGTGCAGGTTGGGGTCTTCCAAAGAACGGGTTTTCCAGTGGTTTCCTCTTTGTATCCTTCACCGGGGGCATCTCTATTTGTTTTGGGACGGGGGCAACTTTATAGCATTATTGTTGACTTGCATGGCAAACATTGGGGGCATCCACCTTTCAATGCGGCTATTAGACAGCATCCAGCAGGGGCCCCGAGTGTCAGGACAACCAGCCCCGCTTTGGCAAACCGGGATCGTTCGCAGAAACAGTTTGATCATGGCACACATGAACCACCTCCATCCTTGTCGTGCTTAGACACTCAGAAAAAAAACTCCCTCTCTTCTTCCAGGGGTTGTGTTAAGGCGACGGGTATTATTTTCCAGGGACAGAACCTGACCCAGCAATTTTCCCTGCAGGGTGCGGGCTGGAAGTATTTCCAGAAAAACAACTCCGTGCAAGTCCCAATGCATTCCCAGTCGCCTGGGCCCGCTTTTTCTGTCGACGATTCGGGACACGAGACGAGAGGTAAACTCGGGAGCTTAGGCATTGTGACACCGAGGCAAGGTTCGTTTTTGGGAAGCTGACCAAAAGTTGAACGAGTTGCAGTTCAGCGAAAGCTCACTTTTGGCCGGGAGGTTTGATTGAATTCGAGGGGCCATCCCGCGGAGCGGTTTTGCTGGGTTTCCCTCAATTCGGGTGGTTCCGGGGCTCGGGGAGCGCATTCCAAGGAAGCAGGGCAGCTTGGAGTCGCAGAGAGATCTCTGGCAGCTCACGACCAAAGCCTGTGAGAAGGGCCTGGAGAACCAGGTCATGGGCAAAATCCACAGGGGCCCGGATACCGCGCCTTGGGAAAGCAGAGTTTCTGTGGGCATAAGAAAGCAAATGCAACAACACCCCGCCTGGTGGGTGGTGCTTGCTTGCTTGCTTGCTTGCTTGCTTGCTTGCTTGCTTGCTTGCTTGCTTGCTTGGTTGCTTGCTTGCTTGCTTGCTTGCTTGCCTGCTTGCTTGTGTGGTTGCTTGCCTGCTTGTTTGGTAGCTTGCTTGCTTGCTTGGTTGCTGGCTTGCTTGCTTGGTTGCTTGCTTGGTTTGCTTGCTTGCTTGCTTTGTTTGCTTGGTTCCTTGCTTGCTTGCTTGCTTGCTTGCTTGCTTGGATTGCTTGCTTGGTTGCTTGGTTGCTTGGTTGCTTGGTTTGCTTGCTTGCTTGTTTGCTTGCTTGCTTGCTTGCTTGCTTGCTTGCATGCTTGCTTGGTAGCTTTCTTGCTTGCTTGGTTGGTTGGTTGCTTGCTTGCTTGGTTGGTTGGTTGGCTGCTTGCTTGCTTGCTTGCTTGCTTGCTTGGTTGCTTGGCTAGCTTGCTTGCTTGGTTGCTCGCTGGCTTGCTTGCTTGGTAGCTTGCTTGCTTGCTCGCTCGCTTGCTTGCTTGCTTGCTTGCTTGCTTGCTTGCTTGCTTGGTTGTTTGATTGCTTGGTTGCTTGGTTGCTGGCTTGTTTGCTTGGTTGCTTGCCTGCTTGTTTGGTAGCTTGCTTGCTTGCTTGGTTGCTGGCTTGCTTGCTTGGTTGCTTGCTTGGTTTGCTTGCTTGCTTGCTTTGTTTGCTTGGTTCCTTGCTTGCTTGCTTGCTTGCTTGCTTGCTTGGATTGCTTGCTTGGTTGCTTGGTTGCTTGGTTGCTTGGTTTGCTTGCTCGCTCGCTTGCTTTCTTGCTTGCTTGCTTGGTTGCTTGCTTGCTTGGTTGCTTCATTGCTTGGTTGCTTGGTTGCTTCGTTGCTTGGTTGCTTGGTTGCTGGCTTGCTTGCTTGCTTGCTTGCTTGCTTGCTTGCTTGCTTGCTTGCTTGTCTGGTTTGCTTGCTTGCTTGGTTGCTTGGTTTGCTTGCTTGCTTGGTTGCTTGGTTGCTGGCTTGTTTGGTTGGTTGCTTGCTTGCTTGCTTGCTTGCTTGCTTGCTTGCTTGCTTGCTTGGTTGCTTGCTTGCTTGCTTGCTTGGTTGCTTGGTTTGCTTGCTTGCTTGCTTGCTTGGTTGCTTGCTTGCTTGCTTGCTTGCTTGGTTTGCTTGCTTGGTTGGTTGGTTGGCTGCTTGCTTGCTTGCTTGCTTGCTTGCTTGCTTGCTTGCTTGCTTGCTTGCTTGCTTGCTTGGTAGCTTGCTTGCTTGCTTGGCTTGCTTGCTTGCTTGCTTGGTTGCTTGCTCGATCATTTGCTTGCTTGGTTGCCTGCTTGCTTGGTTGCTTGCTTGCTTGCTTGTGTGGTTGCTTGTCTGCTTGTTTGGTAGCTTGCTTGCTTGCTTTCTTGCTTGCTTGCTGGCTTGCTTGCTTGGTTGCTTGCTTGCTTGCTTGCTTGCTTGCTTGCTTGCTTGCTTGCTTGGTAGCTTGCTTGCTTGGTTGCTTGCTTGCTTGCTTGCTTGGTTGCTTGATTGCTTGCTTGCTTGCTTGCTTGCTTGGTTGCTTGCTTGGTTTTGTTGCTTAGCAATCACTTGTCACTGGTACTCCCCACGTTGGTGCGCAAAGAGGACCTACATGGATCCTTGAGCTTCTTCCCTCGTTTGTAAGCAGAGCCCGTGTCAGTGGCAAAACTCAGCACCACAATAGGAGGAGAAAGCTGTACTACGGATCCCTCATTTCCAGAAGAGTTTGTTAATTGTGTAGATCTTCATTTGATTTCTCCTTTGGCTTTTCTGCATGCTGCTTTTGGGCATAAAGTGATTGTCCGGCATCCATGTGAAGATGCCGTCATTGGGATTGGCTTTTGATCTGTCAGAGGTTGCCCTTGCGAAGTGCTCTGAGCTTCGGGTCCGCCTTGTGCACCTCGACGTGTGTAGATCCTTTTCAAGGGTTGTCCCCTTGCCCCAAAAAGGAGGAGGGGCCAAGGGGCAAACCTCCCCTCAAGTTGATTCCGCCTTGTCGTGCTCTGACGAGCCATAGACCCGGACGCAGCGACCCTGCCTGCCCTACCAGCGATTTGTTTGTCTCGTTTGCTTGGAAGGTATTTTGCCGTTTATTCAGTCAAACAATAGAGCTCACACCTGAAAGAGGACAGGGAACGGACGGGCTGCGCTAAGGGAGAGTGGGTCCATACATCCTGTGGCTCTCCCCCAGACGCGTAGATACCATGGCAATGAAAGTAATGAAAGTTTAGGCGGAACAGCCTGAGCGTACAACATAGAGTGTCTATCAACATGAGTGTATAAGTATACCGATACATGCACATTTCCCCATAATATATGTGTGAGCCACAGACAAAACCTGTGATGGTGAGGTTTAATCAAGGTAGACACATGTACATATATTTACAATCATTCTGCATAATCCTTTAAAACCTTAAGCTGGTTCAAAGGACATGTTGAAACCAAAAACATTATCTAGTTGTGCGTACACTTTGGCTTTTAGGTGTTAGTGGCATGGATTGGCACCGACAACCGAGCAGAACATCAACCTATAGCCAACTTTGAAGAAAGACTATGTACACGCGCGCGCACTGACAGTCCACGTTGCAAGCAGCAACAAGAAGTGGAATAGCAGCTCTGGAGTCACAGGAGTGAAAGCATAAGACACACAAAATAAGACATGATGTCGAGAGCCAGCTGTGATAAACGCAGCAAAACGAGAATGACGGCCAACACCGACAGGGCTCAGTTTCCAAGGCCAAACTATCGGAGTTGGTTGTTTCTCATGTGTGTGTGTGTGCGGTTGGGGTTGGGGTTGGGGTTGTGGTTGCGGTTGTGTGCATACATGCATACATACATACGTGCATGCATGCATACATACAAACATGCATGCAATCGTACATACATATACGTACATACATAGATAGACAGATAGACACATGCATTCATACATACATACATGCAGACAGACAGACAGACAGACAGACAGACAGACAGACAGACAGACAGACAGACAGACAGACAGACAGACAGACAGACAGACAGACATACATACATACATGCATCCACACACATATACATTCATACATTCATCCAGTCATACATTCATACATACATGCATACGTTGCATACATTGCATACATTGCATACCTTACATTCCATCACATTACGTCACATTACGTCACAGTACATTACATTACATACATGTTTGCATGTTTTTTGCTTTCCTGGCATAGCCGGCTCTGAGGACATGAAGTTCGCCGTGAACAACTCCTCCAAGCGTGCGCTGCCGGATTTCGGCACTGGCCGCTGCGAGGCTGTGGTCACCAACGCGGGGCCCACGATTTTTCTGCCGGCCCACGAGGGCATGAACATGTATCTGGACAACAGCGTCTTCAGCTCCTGCAGTAGCAACTTTGGTGCATTTGGCCAAGGGATGTTAGCTTTTCAGCTTTTCGCCAACTCATGGGTTTTTCGTATACCACTAAAAGTCAAACAACTTTTCGCAGGGGAGCAGAAAACAACCGAGGCAAGGTGTCCCCCGAGCTGAAGCAGGAGGCTCTGGAGGCACTGCGAACGCAGTTGCCCAAGAAGGCCTAACCTGACGTCTTGCTCGCTTTCTTGAGACACAAGCCCTGGGCCCCACCCAGAAAATGCAAACACTCACTGCTCGAGTCGGGACACCTGCCTGCTCCCCGACGCTGCTCGGGCCTCGATTTCGCGCGTGAACCAATTGATCTGGGCTGCTCAACAGCAATCCGTCATCTTGCTTTTGGTCACGAGACAGGTGCCTTTTGTCATTTCCCACCGAATATTGTGGCTCGACAAAGCCTTGAAACACAGATGGTTTCTCTCAATGCTCGTAATGACACACATCATGCATCCCAGGTGGGTGTATGGGTTAGGAGTGGCCAAGCCTCTGGACCAGCCCAGTTTAGGACGCCTTGGCCTGGGCCAGAAGAGCCTTCGTATAGACCCAGTCGGGTGACAAAGGTGGCGTCTGCTGGGACGGTGTCCAGGAATTTTGAACAGATACCTCTCCCGCCATGGCACCTGCCAGGGTCCCTTCAAGAGGAAACTGAGCTTCCAGGTACCCGCCCACAGGTGCCGTGTTAGTGGGAGGGCGGGTATTCAAATTCAAGTTCTCTTCAAGGCCAGCTTAAGCTTCCGGGACCAATCAGATAATCAAGTGCGTCTTGAAGTTGAGTTCCAGGAGGGAAATATGAGGAGCCCCGTCTGCTCTGCAAGGACTCGCAGGGTTGATCCAACTTGATGAAGCATGCAGCTAGCCTTCTGCGTCACCAATGAGAGAATGGTGTGTGTGTTTTTTGTGAGTAGGGGGATTGTGTACTACGTGTTTGTTGGTTTTTAGGTGCATCCATTTCTGCAAGAGTGATCGGGTATTCTAGCTCTAGAATTGACGGAAGTTGTGTTCCTCTGACTCACAAGTTTAGTCTCAAATATTTGATCCTACAGCCGGCAGCACCTGCCATTTGCAGATAGGGAAGGATCTTGCACTAGAGGTGAAACTCAAGAACGAAATTATCGGGCCACCTTGAGTCCGGAAACGTCAGCAAACAATTGAGTTGGGTTTTGAGCAGGACTGCATGTTTTGAGAGTGGTGGTTTCAACAAGTAAAACTATGTGTGGGGGGCGACAGTTCCTTTCCCCGGTTATGGTGAGCATGACCCGACCCATGCAACTCTGCAATGCGAACCAAGAGGATGTTTAAATATGTGTGTGTGTGTCATCTTTAGAAGGCCCCCCCCCCCACAAAAACATGTTATCGTGTTGTTTTCCATTTCAAGCCACGAAGCAGCGGGTACCTCCAACAGAAATACGCCCGAATACAGGTTTGCGCAGGTGGCCGCCGATTCTGGACCGAGTTGTTCTGCCTAGAACGCGGTATGGGACCATCCGCACGTGGAGGGTAATGTAGGTTTGTGTCAAAGGGATTACTCCAACTTGGGCGGCTATACCTTTTCCAGATCCCCTTGGACGCCATGGCTACAACCTTTATCCAAGGAGGACGGCATTTCTTTTTAAATGGAATCTGACGGATTTCATGGCTTTCAAACATCTCAGCCCCTGTGCTGTCCAGCTCTCTATCCCAGACCCCGGGTGCTGGCGTTCGCCTCGGATCCCGCCAGTTCCTCCGGACCTCCGCCGCGCTGCTGCAGAACTCCCAAGGTCGAGCCGCCGGGCCGCTGGCGGCACGCAAGGCGCGTTGGGGTTTGGTGGTCAGTGGGTGTCGTCCCCAAGGTGCCTTCATCCGGGCCAAAGGTTTCTTTCCTGCATGTGCGGAAAGGAATATGTTTTTTAATGTTCCCTTGGTTTTAAAGGGAAGCGGTCACTACTGGACCTTTTTTTTCCAGGAGGCCATGACAAATGGGAGATTGTCCAGGTTGACATGTTTTATGCAGGATTTCAAGGTACTTCTTAGAGGGAGTCGGTGAATGGATTGGAATTCACCCAGATGGATTGTGGGAAATCAATTGCCTTGGGCGGCATAGAATATCATTTATTATCATCATGACATTGAATGCACATGGGCGTCGTGCTAAAGCCCATGTTTTCGGTTTACCATTCCATTTTTTTTAGGCTTGCATGGTATGAGCTTCCCACGTGCGGAAGAGACGCGGAAGGGTGGCGGAAGAGATGCGGAGGCCCAGTAGCCGAACATTGATCGAAATCCAATGATAACTTGTGTGTAGATTTGCAATGGGCGCGGAAGTGCACGGAAGGTTTGCGGAAGGGCGGCGGAAGCGCAGTTTTCAAGAGAAGTAATTTTGCATAACCCCCCACATGCTTGCGCACGTCATTCGGCCATTTGTTCAAGCCAGATGGCCTGGTGTCGCCCAGGTTGTTGTTTTCAACCAGCGGTACAGGTAGGTGAAAGCAGATGGCACCATTCCATGTTTGGATATCCGCTTTACCTACTCACACCAAAGAAATCTGCAATCTACTTTCACCCTACTCCCAAAATGAAGTGTGCAGGGCAAATTCCTCAATTGCGGGGGGGCGGGGGGGCCCTAGTCATGGCTCAGCCGATTCGGAATGTCGCGGCACAACTTCCGCAGGTGGAGTCTGCATCCCAACGAAAGGAACATCAAACGCCTCCTTTTGCCGTTAGTGAACTGCCCTTGAAAAGGACAGACTTGTTCACACCCCTAATCGAACCCATAACCCCCATGAGGTCTCCAAGGTTTGTAGCCTCTGATCGATAGAACAAAATAGGTCAGGGAAGTCGGCAAAGTCTGTAGCTTCGGGAAAAGGATTGGCTCTGAGGGTTGGGTGCAGGGGTCCTTGTCCAATGGGGATCAGGGAAAGTGGGATCGACCAATCCATTTCGAACCCAGACTTTGGCCGCAGGAGTTTGGGTCGGGGGTGGTGCTGGAGGGGAGCTTCCAGCAGAAGGCCGTGGAAAGCAGCCGTCGCAACATTTTGGGCATGGGGTGAGTGTTTGTTGTACTTTGAGACTGCGTTAATTAAACACCAAGTATGACCAGGTGGTCTCCCCAAAGAGCTGAAACCTTCAAGAACCCTAGCCTCCCTCTAGCAACTGCTACCCAGCAACTGCCCCAGAAAACCCCGGAACCTCCCGAAACCCTTAACGACCCTTTGAAACCCTCAGAAGTATCGTGGCAGAGAGCGCATCGTCAGCTGGTGCGTAAAATGGGCCCTTGCATTGTGTGTTCAAAGCGCTTGATGCTTTGGTTCTGCTTCTTGTTTGTGGGGAGTCTGCAAAGAAAATCGTGCTTGGGGTTGGGAACAAGGCTTCATTGGGTCAAAGCACGATTTGTCCAATGAATCAAGTTGTTATTGATGATTGATTAATCAAGCTGTCAAATTGAAGCATCATGTGGGCAACCCGCGGCTGCGACAACATGCAATCTTGTAGTTGTCGGATTTGAACGGGGTGTTTGGGTGTTTCACACAGCTTTGTCCCATGGCGACGCCAGAGGGGTGAGTTTGGGAAGGTTCCCTTTGTAAAGGCAAATCCAAGCACTGGGAAGGCAAGTCATTACGTTGCTGGGAACTTTTCGCCCGACTCCTCTTGAATTTTCCGTATTTCTACACACTGCATTGGGTCATTACCTCATGATCGGTTCCGTACCTAGCATGCTGCCCCAGCTGTATCGTTGCGACAAGTGCTTAGGCTCTTTGAGCCAGCATTCTCATGAAGCTCTCAGGGTTACACAGGGACAAGCTCTGTGAGTCCTCCCTAGCACCCATTGAAGTATCATTTCAATTTCGATATGTGCAGCGACAGGCCACGGTCGAAGCTAGCGCCAAGAGCTCCGCAAGCTTGGAGAAAGTGGTGTTTAAACGCAGGTCAACCTAAATGGAGCCGCTTTTTGGCTGTTTCAAAGGACGGCAAAGGAAGCACTGCCGCGGGATGGGGGAGTGAGTATAACAAACACGCCTGGAGCCCTTTTGATGGCCCCATTTGCTTCACTCAGGGTCTCTGGGCATCTTTAAGATCTTTGTTGCTTCAGATTTTTAAGCGGAAAAACCATGAGGTGAGCAGAAACTTTGATTTGGCGTGGCATACCTGGTGACTCCCTACCCGAATCACCCCAGGGACAAAAGGCCCGCGCAGGTGGGAGCGCTGACGCGTGGCCCTCCTCTGTGAGCTCCGTGCTTCGGCCCCATGAACGGATCCAATTCGCACATCCTTTGCTTGGTTTAGAGGGAAGCCAAAGCTTTAAAGGTCCCGTATTTTGACGCATACTCACCTTGTAGCCGCACCCTCTCCAGTTTTCTTCAACCCAAGGCCAAACCTGTGGGAAAGTGGGTGAATTCTGAAAAAAAAAGCGTCAACAGTTGAAACAGCAGCGTAAACAGCCTGACTGTGGACGCCTTTGCAGCGAAATGCGGCTGTTCAAGCAAAAGTGGTTTAAACATGCTTTGACATGTGGTGAGCTATGCAGTGTAGCGTGCGCTTCCAGATGCTTGGAGTCCTTGCTGCTTCTAGAATCCTAACAGTTTGTTGGTGCTTGGCTATTCAGGAAGGTACAAGTAAGTCGAGCAGCCTCTATGTGGACAGCCTTAGCCTTGACCCGGTGGTGTCCACAAGTTGCATACGTGTGTTTGCTTGGTTGCTTGCGTGCTTGCTTGTGTGTTTGTTTGTTTGTTTGTTTGTTTGTTTTGTTTGATTGTTTGTTTGCTTGCTTGTTTGTTTGTTTGTTTGTTTGTTTGTTTGTTTGTGTTTGTGATTGTTTGTTTTGTTTGGTTGTTTGCTTGCCAGTTTGTTTGTTTGATTGTGTGTGTGTGAGGGTGTGTGTGTGTGCATCATACTTATGTATATGCTTGTGTGTGTGAGTGTCTCTTTGTGTGTGTGCATATGTGCTTTAGGTGTCTTTGAGTATGTTTCTTGTGTTTGTGTGTTTGTGCGTGTGCGTGTGCGTGTGCGTGTGCGTGTGCGTGTGCGTGTGCGTGTGCGTGTGCGCGTGCGTGCGTGCGTGCGTGCGTGCGTGCGTGCGTGCGTGCGTGCGTGCGTGCGTGCGTGCGTGCGTGTGTGTGTGTGTGTGTGAGAGCGTGTGTGAGTGTGTGTGTGTGTGTCTCGGTGTGTGCCTGTGCCTGATTATGTAGGATTC